ACATTTATTTAGTGTGTGTGTGTGTGGCCAGCTCAGCCCACCAGGGGGCGGGGCTGGCTGGCATGTGGTGCTGGGGGATCGAACCGCGGTGCCTGTGCTTTGCCAAGCTTGTTCCAAGTAGGTGCTTTAGACCACTGAGCCATCTCTCCAGCCCCGGTTTACTTGTTCTTGATGAGCCTTATACATTCTTATCTTTGGAGCGGTGGCTAATTGGCAAGGAAACCCCTTATTCTCGGTTAGCTTAGAGTAGGTAAGGAAACATGTAGGTAGCTATTGAACTATACAGTGACCCTAGAGGGAATCACATGGTGACTGTACAGTGACAGTGCATACACATGGGCTGTGTAGTATCAGGAATCGAACTCAGGACCTGGTGGGTGCCAGGCAGGCACTGTGCTGCGGAGCTGCGTCTCCTGTGCAGGTGCGTAAGCTAGTGCACAGGTGAGCATGCAGTGGCCTCTGTTTTCCTCATGTCTTGTTGGAGGTGGGGAAGAGACTCATTTGTGAACCTGGCTTTCTGTGTCCTGCTGTCAGCTCTTTTGAGCTCTTGGTGTAAGTCCCCAGGCTATTTGGTGCCTGGTTTTTTAAAAATCTTTTTGTTTGTTTTTACCACTGTCATTGACTTATTTTTAGGGGACTCTTTTCAGTCAAGCTTGATTTTTAACTCTTTGGAGTCAGGATTAGCTAGAAGACCCAAGGAGTGGGGAGAAAAAAGGAAAAAATTAAAATAAAGGGGCCGAGGAGATGGCTCAGTGGAATAAGCACTGCCCTGGCAAGTGCAAGGGCCTGAGTTCAATCCCCGGTTCCGCTGGAAAAAAAAAGGAGGAGGCCCTTCACATACCTGGGGCCTCCACTCCGGGCTGAGATGCTGTGGGGAAAGTAGCTCTGACTGATCTGGCTTCTTTAAGCTGAATGGGGTCCTTGTTGTGTGATGCAGGCCGTCTTCAGGAGGGAGGCTTCATCTGAGAGAAGGAGGGAGGCTTCTCAGCAGAGATCTAGGCCTCCACAGTTTGGAGCTCCACAGCCTCTGGGCCAGATGACAGCCAGGCCCACTGAGCGACAGAATGGGAAGGAGGCAGGGCAGGAGTCACGAGGGAAGCTGCTCCTCAGGGGTGAGAACAGTAGCGGGATCCTGCTGGCCCCTGCCCAGGCCCAGGCATGGCTGGAAACTGCCTAGGAGGGGCAGTGATGGGAGCCCCACTTCCCATTTACCCTGCATTGTTATTACTTACATCTCTGGCTGTGCTTTTGGTTGTTGGGTGTTTAAGAACAAGTTAGGGGCTGGTGAGATGGCTCAGTGGTCTAAAGTACCTGCTTGGAACAAGCTTAGCAAAGCACAGGGACTGCAGTTCAATCCCCCAGCACCACATGCCAGCCAGCCCCGCCCCCTGGTGGGCTGAGCTGGCCACACACACACACACACACACACACACACACAAATTGAAAAAAAAGAACAAGTTAAAATGAGCCTTTTGTTAATCATAACTTAGTTTTTATTTTTATTTTATTTTTTTTTTTGGCGGAACCAGGGATTGAACTCAGGCCCTTGCACTTGCCAGGGAAGCACTTATCCTACTGAGCCATCTCCCCCGTCCCTATTTTTTAATTTTTTTGGTGGAATCAGGGATTGAACTCAGGCCCTTGCGCTCGCCAGGGAAGCGCTTATTCCACTGAGCCATCTCCCCAGCCCCTTTATTTTTATGTATTTAGTACAGGGTCTACAGGGTCTCACTACACAGATCGGACTTGTAGTGATTCTGTTTCTCAGCCTCCCAAGCACTGGGATTACAGGCGTGGGTCACCATGCGCAATCTCAATTGTGCCCCGGGGGTGGGGCTGGCACCACAGGCCAGGGATCTGAACCCCTGGCCCCTGTGTCTGCCTAAGTAGACCTTTATTTATTTATGTATTTATTTATTTTGTAACTTGCGGAGGGGTCTACAGGGTGTTCAGGGTCTTATTATTAGGTCAGACTCGTGGTGATTCTCCTGTTTACAGCCTCTCAAGTGCTGGGATTACAGGCGCACAAACCCACACCCAGCCTCAATTGCCAACCCTGCGCGCCCTGGGGGCGGGGCCAGCATGGCAGGCCTGGGAGATTGAACTCCTGGCCCCTGCACCTGCTTGCAGGCGCTTTAATCTGCTGAGCTTTTTGGCCGGCCCTCCCTAATTTATTTTTTAGTATATCAATCAAGGTCAGTTAAGTCTCTTTAGGTGTTAGATTTGGGGCCATGGTTAGAACCTCTTAGCTTTTTAGTTTCTGGTTTTATTTATTTACTTATTTATATTTGTCTTTTTGAGACAGGGTCTCGCTATATAGCTCAGGCTGGCCTTGAGCTCGTTTGTAGTCCAGGCTGGTCTCAAACTTGCAGCAATCCTCCTGCTTCAGGCTCCTGAGTGCTGGGATTACACGGTGGGTGACCGTGCCGGGTCAGCTCCTTTAGTTTTGCTTCTGTCAGTGACGTTGCCTGCCAGGGTGGGTCACAGTCTATGCTGGACCACATGGCTCTCTAGAAGCGCGGACTGTGCCCACCGTCCTGTGTCACACGCACACACACGTGCTCGCATGGTCGTGCACGCGTGGGCATTCACACGGTTCTGAAAGTGAGGACAAGAGAGAAAGAAGGACAAAAGCCGGGGCCTTGGGAGCTTGAGTCATGCTTTATTTCTCCTATTCCGATCTAGGTTTGAGGTTATAAATAAAATCCTTGATCTTCTGGCTGATTTTCTTAAACTTCTCTTTTAACTTCTGAACTACTTTTCGGAGGAGCTTGCCCAAGCCCTCTTTCCTGGAACGCTGCACCTGTGTGAGAAGAAACCGGCTTATAAGGGCTTTACCGGATCAGGCAGGGCCCGGCCACCCTCAGGGGTCACCCTGGGAACTGAACCCCTGCACTCCCAACAAATGAAAAAATGAGAGCTGTGGACAGCAAGATAGGGGCTTGAGACGTGGTTCAGGCTGGCCTGACACGTGGGATCCGCCTGCCTCGGCCTCACAAGTGCTGGGCTTGAAGGCATGCGGCACCAGGCCAGGCAGAACCAGAGCTTCCGGACCACTGATCAAGAGGCAGGCCGGGAGTAGAGGGGCTTTGCTGCTCTCCCCCATGTGATCCACTGTCCCCCCTGCAGCCCAGGGCGCCCCACTTACCTCGGTACAGCGAATGTTAAAGGCTCCGCTGGCTGAGTCCAGTGTGACTGTCCCTGAGCACCGCTTCACCCGCTGGGGAGGGAGGCCCAAGGTCAGCCCAGCCCTTCCGCCATCAGCCCAGCCCACCCTGGGCCCTTGCCCAACCCCCCAAGAAGCATCCACCACACTCTGGCCAACCCAGGCCTCACCCCATCCTCCTTGAAGTCGCACTGCTCCGGCTGCAGTTGTGTCCTCTTGGGACACACAGTCTCCTTCACGGTGAAGTTCACAGGCTTTGGGCTCTCTGGGTCCTCATCCTGGTCAGGGGTTGAAGCAGGAGGTGCAGCTCAGGCTCGTGTGCCATCCCCACTCCTCCCCTAGAGTCTCACCATGCAGCCCCGGCTGTTCTAGAGCTCAGAATCCTCTTGCCTCAGCCTTCTGAGTGCTGGGCACCCAGGGTCCCCCTACACACCTGGCTCCTGTGTGTGCACCCAGCGTCCCAGCCCTGGGGAGGCTGAGGCAGGAAGACTGCAAGCTTGAACCCAGCTTGGGCACACTGGTGACTTAGTGGGAGCCTGTCTCACAGGAAACCTGCGAGGCTGGGGTGCAGCTCTGGGAGGCTGATTCTGTGCTTACCTCCGGGGGCTCAGATTCTAGGCTGAGGAGGCGAAAGAGATTGGCATCAGCCGAGCGCTGGTTGAGGCTGTCCACGGCCCGGCGCACCGCGTCCAGGTAGCTGAGGGCCTGTGCAGAGACTGGGGGCAGTAGCATGCTCAGCAGCAGGGGCAGCAGCAGCTGCCCGCGGTCCCTCCAGGTGGCCATGGTCCCCACTGGGTCCTGGGCCCCGGGTGCCTCCTTTATGCCTGGGAGCCACCGCCCACCCCGGCCCACTGTCCTCAGCCCGTCTTGCCCCACACATGCCCAGCTGCAAGAGGAAAGGGCGATTTCACAGCTCCCTGGGCCTGGTCTGCCAGCACCCCGCAGAGCCCACCGGGGATGGGCGTGGCCAGAGTTGCTTAAGAGGCCATCCTGCCTCATCCCACCCCAGACTGCACGGGTGGATTGAGGGCTGCAGCCAGTAGGCCGAGGGCTCCCTCTGTCCCCTCTGCCCCTGCCTTTGTCAGTCTAAGTGTGTGTCTGGGAAGGTGTGGTGGCACACACCTGCAATCACAGCATTGGGAGGCTGAGGCAGGAGCTGTTCAAGGCCAGCCTGGGCTACACAGGTGAATTTGAGTGCAGCCTGCAGTACATAGGGAGATCTTGCCACCATAAGTAAACAAATAAAAGAACTGTGGGGCCGGGAAGATGGCTCAGTAGAATAAGAGCTTGCCCGGCAAGTGCAAGGGCCTGAGTTCAATCCCCGGTTCCACCAAAAAAAAAAAAAAAAAAAGAACTGTGATGAGTTTTGGGCAGGCTCCAACTCCCCATGTGGAATGAGATTGTTATGTACTGCAAACAAAGACTAATAACAAAAGTGAAAAGAAGATATGTATGTCATGGGCTGGACCCGGACCCCGGGCCACCTCTCTGCCCTGTCTCGAGGTCTCCTGGGGCTGTCCCCTGCCACGACACCGGGTATGATGAACAGCACCCCCATCCCTGTCTGACTTCCTGCCCCTGTGATCGCCTGGTTGTCCCTGCCCTCACTCCTGTGAAGGTCTGTTTTGGTCCCAGGACCCTCACCCTCGCTCTCCCCGTGACCCTGCTTCTCTCCTGGACCCCGACTTCCGACCCCAGAGGCCCCTGGGACTTGGCTGGGGCCTTGGTCCCCACATAGCTGCCCAGGTCTGGAAGCCACCTGTGCAGTTTATTGAGCCTGTGGGGAGCTCGGCTCCCTCGACCTCCTGAAAGTGTCCCCTGTTGGCTTGCTGTGCCAGAGTCCTCTCTGAGACCGAAGTTGTGGTGGCTGAGCTGGGGATGGGGTGAGGGGCCCCGTGGTGCAACGATGGGCCTAGGGGAGCCGGGGCTGTGGCCTCAGTGGGCTGTGGTAGTGCATGTGCCCACATCCTTGGGCAGCTGAGGCAGGAGGATCGCAGGTAGTGGGCCTAGGTACTGAAGGGGATGAAGAGGCTCCGGATTCACAAGGCAGTCCTGGTCTGGCTTGTGCGTGCCTTGGGGTGGGGCCGCAAGGCTCGGGCTCCCGGAAGGGGCCCAGGCAGGGCAGTGCGCGTGCAAGCTGCTTTCACAGTCCCGTGTTGCCAGGGCTCTTGGTCCATCGGGCTTGCACATCGCGTTCGCCAGCTGCTCATTTATTTACGTAATTTTCTTTTTCACCCCTGGGAACAGAAGCTGGGCCCTTATACTGAGCTATTTCCACAGCCCTTTTTAAATTTTGTTTTGAGTCAGGGTCTTGCTAAGTTGCCCAGGCTAGCCTGGAACTTGTGATTTTCCTGTCTCAGCCTGCTAGGTAGCTAGGATTATGGTTATGTGCCAACCACCATGACTGACATACTTACAAAATTTTTTTTTTAATTTTTTTTTTATTTATGTGTGTGTGTGTGTGTGTGTGTGGCCAGCTCAGCCCACCAGGGGGCGGGGCTGGCTGGCATGTGGTGCTGGGGGATTGAACCACGGTCCCTGTGCTTTGCTAAGCTTGTTCTAAGTAGGTGCTTTAGACCACTGAGCCATCTCACCAGCCCCCAAAAATTTTTTTTCTTTTTTTGAGATAGGGTCTTGCTGTGTAGTCAAGCTGGCTTTGAACTCAGTAAGTAGCCCAAGCTGGTCTCAAACGCATGAGCTTGGGGCTGGAGAGATAGCTCAGTGGAATAAGCGCTTCCCTGGCAAGTGCAAGGGCCTGAGTTCAATCCCCAGTTCCACCAAAAAAAAAAAAAAATTCAAACTCATGAGCTCCTGCCTCAGCCTCCAAGTGCTAGGATTACAGTCATGCACCACCAGGCCCAGAATTGGTTTTTTTTTTTTTTTTTTCTTTTTTTTTTTAAAAAAAAAAAAAAAAAAAAAAAATTTTTTTTTTTTTTTTTTTTTGGTGGTACTAGGAACCGAACCAGGACCTTGTGCTTGCCAGGCAAGCACTTATTCCACTGATCTATCTCCCCAGCCCTATTTGTGTCTTTTTAAGACAGGGTTTTGGGGTTTTTTTTGGCGGAACCGGGGATTGAACTCAGGCCCTTGCGCAGGGAGGCGCTTATTCCACTGAGCCATCTCCCCGGCCCCTTAAGGCAGGGTTTTGATACACAGTTCAGGCTTCCCTTGAACTCACTTTGTAGCCCAGGCTGGTCTGGAATTTGGAGTGAGCCTCCTGCTTCAGCCTCCTGAGTGCTGAGATGACAGGTGCACACCACTACACCTGGCCTTTTTCTTTCTATCTCTTTACTCACAGTCACCTATCTGAGCCTTTTGTCACATTAGCTTATCCCGTTTGTCTCTGTCACCGGGTTCTGGGAGCTGTGGGCTCCTTCCAGAAATTGCTTCCAAGTTCTTGTCCTGAACAAAGAGGTGGTCAAGAGGTGCATGGTGGCGCACACCTGTAATCCCAGCACTCAGGAGGCTGAGGCAGAAGGACTGCTGTGAGTTCGGGGCTGGTCTGGGGTACGTAGCCAATTCAAGGCCAGCTTGGACTCTGTAGTGAGGCCCTGTCTCAAAAAACCAAAAAAGAAAACAGTAACAGCAAACGAGAAACAAAACACAGGCAGCGCTCATCTCAGTTTCCAAGAGGAGAGGTGGCCACACGGGGAGGGACACAAGCACAGCCACATGCTGAGGGTGCGCTTGCGGGCTGGGAAAGCCTTGGTTGTGGTTTTGGAGCAGTGGGTGAGGCTGGTGAAGGGGCTGAGCAGCTCAGGTCTGGCCAGTTTGAATTATTTCAGGTAAGCCTGGAGAACAAAGGGTCTGAGTGTAGGTAGATGATGTGTGTGTGTGAGAGACAGAGAGAGAGAGAGAGAGAGAGAGAGAGAGAGAGAGAGAGAGAGAGAGAGAAAGAGAAAGAGAGATGTTATGTTTTTTTCTTTTCCAGATAGGCTTTTGCACACTATAGTGCAAGGTGGTCTGGAACTTGCAGCAATCTTTCTGTCTCAGCCTCCCAGTGACAAGATTAAAGTGGGGCCCCTTGCCCTACTCCCCAGCCACTGTGTTTCAGCCACTGTGTTTTCTTTGGCCTGCTCTGGCAAGCTCCAGGTCCTAAGCTTATTATTATTATTATTTTTTAATGTGTTTGGTTGCTGCAGGGTCTCATTACACATCTCCTGTTTTCAGCCTCCCCAGCACTGGCCAGTGGGGCTAGGGATCGAAC